GTAGAGAGAGAACATAGTTTTGAGTTTAAAGCGAGAAGGGGTCCTTAGAATATGGCAAGGAAGGGCCGTAAAACGGGGCAAAATTCACTTAAACTCTTGTCTTCCTTAGCAACGGAAATGTTGGGCACCGTTGTGTATCCCATATCAAGGACTGCTTTTTATTGAGCAGCCAAAGTAAAGTCTGAATTCCTACATAGGGTGAAGAGAAGCTTTATTTTTTTAATTCAAGACACCTTGGCTTAACAGGATGGGTAAACCTGGCCAGTTATTTACAGGAACACAGCCTCAACAATCTCTCTTTTGCAGTTTGCAAACTGTCAGGACTGTGTTTGTTTGTTTGTTTTTTTAAACAATTTTATTATATGAATTTCATTAATCAATAAACGTTTAGAAGAGCTCGTTATCTATCCCCAAAATCCTGTTTTAACACTTTATTAATTTTTCAAATGTTGTTAACATTTAAACTAACTTATATATTTACTATTCAGGTACCCCAAGTTTCTCTTATTTAAATCTATTCTTTTTCGATAATTCTCCAATTATTAATTCCATCTCATTCCCCCCAAAAAAAAAAGAATAAAGAGAAAAGAAAAAAGAAAAAAAAGAGAGAAAAAAGAAGCGTATTCTTGCTACATTTCAGTATTAAATTCTAAATCATTTCATAATAGCCTCCCTTTTAACAAAATCCAAATCCAAAACAATCCGAGTCGCTATAAAACCTTTACCATCCATAATTATCATCTCAAAATTTAATATTTATATCTTATTCTGGGACTGTGGTTTTTTTTTAACCTCGGCCACTTTAAGACGGCGGGACTTCCAACTCCCAGAATTCCCCAGCCGGTTTTGCCCCGTTTTAACGATTTTTCTTGCCATCGTCGTGAAGAGACTGCAGTTCTTAAGTGAGTCATGTCGTTGTTCTGGATTCCCCACTGACTTTGCTGGTCATAAGGTCGCAAAAGGGGATCTCACAGGATCCCGGGACACTGCAGCCGTCGTAAATATGGGTCAGTTGCCAAGCGTCTGAATTTTCACTGCGCGAGCACACGGGAATGCTGCAATGGCCGTATGTGTGAAAAACGGTCATAAGTCACTTGTTATCTGTGCCGTCGTAACTACGAACGGTCACTAAACGAATGTAAGTCGAGGAGTAAGTTAAACATAAGTCAGGACTCTTACGATACCACGTCAAGGACTACTTGTGTGGCTAGATTACCTTTGTAACTTTCTTAATAGATGATAGGAATGTGGTAGATGTAATATATTACAGGGGTCTTCCAACTTGGCCCTTTGATGACTTGTGGACTTCAACTCCCAGAATTCCTCAGCCAGGCAGTGCCTGGCTGAGGAATTCTGGGAGTTGAAGTCCACAAGTCATCAAAGGGCCAAGTTGGAAGACCCCTGTAATATATCTTGACTTCAGCAAAGTGAAAACATAACCTGCCACAAGCTAAATTAATAAGTGAATTAAAGGTGGGCTGGATGACAGGACAATTAAATGGGAAACTGAAGTGCTGGCTGGGGAACTCTGGGAGTTGAAGTCCACCCCTCTTAAAGAAGGCTGGCTGGGGAATTCTGGGAGTTGAAGTCCACAAGTCATCAAAGGGCCAAGTTGGAAGACCCCTGTAATATATCTTGACTTCAAAGTGAAAACAACCTGCCACAAGCTAAATTAATAAATGAATTAAAGATGGGCTGGATGACAGGACAATTAAATGGGAAACTGAAGTGCTGTCTGAGGAATTCTGGGAGTGGAAGTCCACCCGTCTTAAAGCATGCTGGCTGGGGAATTCTGGGAGTTGAAGTCCACCCCTCTTAAAGCAGGCTGTCTGAGGAATTCTGGGAGTGGAAGTCCACTCATCTTAAAGCAGGCTGGCTGGGGAATTCTGGGACTTGAAGTCCACCCATCTTAAAGCAGACTGGCTGGGGAATTTGTATCTTGAAGCATGCTGGCTGGGGAATTCTGGGAGTTGAAGTCCACCCATCCTAAAGCAAGCTGGCTGGGGAATTCTGGGAGTTGAAGTCCACAAGTCTTAAAGCATGGCTGGCTGGGGAATTCTGGGAGTGGAAATCCACCCATCTTAAAGCACGCTGGCTGGGGAATTCTGGGAGTTGAAGTCCACCCCTCTTAAAGTGGGCAAGGTTGAAAAAATGCTATCCTAACCCTCCTCCTAAATCTAACAGATTGCCAACCTGGGCATTCCTGCTTTTTTACAGGTGGATTCCTGGAGCTCCGAGTCCGATTTGTTCCTGGCTGGCTATTACCAGGCAAACTCTGGGATGGATGACAAAAGGTGAGTTTGAAGAGGGAGGAAGACGTTGGGCGAAGGGATAGATCTCTTTCCTGCCCAAAGAATCTCTGACTCCTTCCCTTCTTCCCCCCCCCCCCTGCAGCCCTACTACCCTGGCACAAAAGATTGCAGCGCGCATTGCTGAACTCTGCGACGAGGCCGTGCTGATCATGGTGAGGATCTCCCTGGATTTGGAAGGTCTGGGTGGACCGATCTTAGGGATAGCGATAGAAGGCAATATTTGCACGAATGAAGGCAAAGATACGTGTCCCAGGATAATGTGTATAATGTCCCAAGATGAGTCCTCCAGGTACCACAGAAATAGCACGCAAAGAACAGCCCAGTGCACACATTCTAGGGATAGAGAGGGGGAAGTGCCTTGAGGATGGGCTCCAGCATTAAGTCGGAAAGCTTGGAAGATTAAACTTCTGGTCCTCGTGACCGACTCAGATTGGATGCTGCAGAATATTTATAGCTCAGGGTTGAGCTGTGGAGTCCTTGGATCTCTCTGAGCTTGGTGGTTTTCTTGCAGACATTTCACGACCCAGCTAGGGAACATCGTCAGTGCTGGGAGGAGTCAGGTTTGCGAGGAAGGGGGGGAGGAGGAGGAGGAGGAGGAGGAGGAGGAGGAGGAGGAGGAGGAGGAAAAGGGGCTGTGGGGTCCTGGGTGCTCTCTGAGCTTGGTGGTTTTCTTGCAGACATTTCATGACTCAACTAGGTAACATCATCAGTGCTAGAAAGAGTCAGGTTTGCAAGGAGGAGGAGGAGGAGGAAGAGGAAGAAGAAGAAGAAAAGGAAAAGGGCCGTGGGGTCCTTGGTGCTTTCTGAGCTTGGTGGTTTTCTTGCAGACATTTCATGACCCAACTAGGGAATATCATCAGTACTAGGAGGAGTCAGGTTTGGGAGGAGGAGGAAGAGGAGGGGGGGAGGAGGAGGAGGAGGAGGAGGAGGAGGAGGAGAAGAAGAAAGAAGAAGAAAGAAGAAGAAAGAAGAAGAAAGAAGAAGAAGAAAGGAAAATGGCTATGGGGTTTCTGGGGCTTTCTGAGCTTGGTGGTTTTCTTGCAGACATTTCACGACCCAGCTAGGGAACATCGTCAGTGCTGGGAGGAGTCAGGTTTGCGAGGAAGGAGGAGGAGGAGGAGGAGGAAGAGGAAAAGGGGCTGTGGGGTCCTTGGTGCTCTCTGAGCTCAGTGGTTTTCTTGCAGGCATTTCACGACCCAACTAGGGAACATCATCAGTGGTAGAAGTTTACTCAAACCTCCCTCCCTTCTAGCATCGATGACGTTCCCTAGTTGGGTCACGAAACGTCTGCAACAAAACCACCCAACTCAATGATCCCCAAGGACCCATCAGTCCAGCCTTGAGCGACAGACATCCTCTTCTCTGCTCACGCTGCCTCCTGCCACGGGATTGCTCCAGAGAAAAAGAGAGGCCCTGATTTGCTTTCTCCTACCTTGATTCCTTCCCCAGTTGGATAACCGCAAGTTCACGATAAACCCTCGGCTTCCTCCCCTCACCGTCTTGGAGCAGAGAGATCACCAGTGGGTTCCTAAGGACAAGAACCTGTGAGTTGCAGCTACCGATGGCTTACCCCTTGCCTACAAGTGATCTTGCAGTAGTATTCTCTCTCTCTCTCTCTCATTCACACACACACATACACACACACAAACACACACATACACAAACACACAGGAGATCCTCAGGGTTTCCTTTAAGCAACGTTAATACAGAGTGCAAACGAGGAGGAAGAAACAACAAGGGTAAAACTAGGCCCGAGATAAGAGGGAAATAAAGTCTTTTACTTCCATACCATTTCACACATTCCTCGACTTTACGGCCACAGGGCGGCCCACAATTTCTGTCGCTTGGCTGTCAAAAGTGGGTTTTGTCCCGTTTTACGACCTGCCTTCTCACGGGCGTTAAGCGAATCTGGCTTTCCCCCCCTCCCGCTGACTTCGCTTGCTCGGAAGGTTGCAAAAGGGGAATCACGTGACACACGCACCGCCCCCAGGACGCTGCGACCGTCGTAAATAGGAGTCGGTTGCCCAAGGATACGAGTTTGGATCACGTGACCGTAGAGGAAATGCTGTAATAGTTGTGTGGAAAAAGAGTCATAAGTCATTTTTTTTTTTTTTTGCAGTCACTAGGCAAATGCTTGTAAATTGAGGAGTGTCTGGATTGGTATTCCATGCCCAAGGATTATCTAGTCTAGGGGTAGGCAACCTTGGCTCTTTTATTTATTTTTATTTTTTTTCCCAATTTTTTTTTATTATTTTCCATCATAAAAAAACAATCACAAGCATAATAAACACAATAACAAGTAAAAAAACCCCATCCCCCCCCCGGACTTCCCAAACCTAATCCCAGGATAATATTCATATATGAGTAAACAAATACTAATATCCCTAACTCCACAAAATATCTTAATCTACAAAAAAGATAGAAAGAATAAAC